CTCTCTCTCTCTCTCTCTCTCTCTCTCCTTCCACTCTCCATCGACAGGAATTCGGTATTTAAATAATGCATTTATCCTATCTTTCTGATGGAACATTTTTCTCGTTTTTCTCTCTAGTGTGTATCTGTGTCGTTTATTTGTGGCATCAAGTATCTAGATCTATAATAACGACTTCTTTTTTCATGAGTGTGGTGGTTGGCGGGTGCTCTGGTGTGGTTTGCTCCTTCTTTCCTATCAAACATCGTCCTGATCTCTCCTTCTTTTTTTTTCTGTTTGTTACTCTCTTGTAACACCTCTAATCTTCGACGCTTATTATGACCTTATTGTGTTCCAAGCGCCGTAAAACTCTTCCTAAAACTAAAACACTCATATGCACTATATTGCGTTATCTTATCATTTCATACCTTTAAACGTGGTTATTTAAGAGGTTGTTTTTTTTCTTTATAGTTACCTAGTGGGTGATTGGCGGGTGCTCTGATGTTATCCCATCCTTGTTTCTAATCAAATATCTATCGTTTTTATCTCTCTTCCTTTTTTGTGTTTGTTACTCTCTTGTGACACGTTTAATCTTCGGCACTTGTATGACCTTTTTGTGTTGCAAGCGCCGTACAACTTACTAAAACTTGAAATAAAATTGCTTTCTTACTTTAGAAGTGAGGAGAAAAAGGGGAGGGGGGGTGGGTGGAGCGGCCTGCTATGTCCATACGTTTGTGACATAAACTATTGAGTTGAAATTTATGGAGGCTTCATTTTATGTTTGGATTCAAACAAAGCCTGCTCCCACCACATAAATAATTCAGCGTATCCCTTTATGAGGATAGTTAAGTTACAGCCAGTTGCGTCGTTTGCTCATTAATGTCCGTGTGTGCGGAGAACGGCATACGACAACAGCGTGAGGGAGAACAAAGCTATCCTTTTCAACAGAAGATTATAATGATAATATTATTATGTATTTTGTATATTATTATGTATTTTGTATAATATAATTCAACCATTTCGACTCGCAAAGTAAAACCAACCAGTGGGTGGTTAGCGGGTGTGCTCTGGTGTGGTTTGATTCTTCTTTCCTATCAAACATCTATCGTCTTTATCTCCCCTTCTTTTTTGTGTTTGTTACTCTCTTGTTAACAGCTCTAATCTTCTGGCGCTCATATGACCGTATGCAGTTGCGAGCGAGAACAAAGCTGTCCTTTTCAACAGAAGATAATAATAATATAATGTATTTTTTTTAAAAATATACTTCAACTATTTCAACTCGCAAAGTAAAACCCAAGCCATGCTATGAACTAACGGGAAAACAACCAACGCGTGTTTCCTGAGCTCATATGACCTTACCAAATTGAAAGAGAAGAGAACCATTAATAATATTATATAAATTATGTAGTTTCTTAGGAGACTGCTAAGAGTATCGTGGAAGGAAAAGAAATCAAATGAGGTAGTGCTTGATGAAGCCCACGTGGGACGCTCAATGTTAAAAACGATCAGGAAACGACAAATGCAGTTTTTGGGACACCTGAATAGACATTTAGGGTCTTGAATATCTAGCTCTCACGGGCAAAATTGAGGGCAAGCGAGGCAGGGGTAGGCCCAGAACAACATACTTAG